GGCTTTCGGTCCATGGATTTCGGTTGGCTGGATCTGCCTATTCATCCGCGTTTTTACCATCTACGCGAGACCCCTGCTCTTGAGGTAAACTCTACGTCTCTGAAGGGTTTGGTTACTTGGCTTTTTGACGACAAATGTTCTGCTTTTTCTCGAAAGGTCTACTTTGCACGAATCTATCATGTTGTTTACTCAGGGTGGTGCAACAGAGAGACATACCATGTCAGAACGCGACCAAATATGTCTCTACTCGCACACATAAACACCGGCTTCAGACCGCCTCGATAATGTCGTGTATTCATATCGACAGTTCGCCTTTTTTAATTTTCTTTTTTAACATTCCCCTGGTTTTTCTCTTTCAACTTTCAGTGCTCTGCTACGTTTCCTTGACAAGGATTCCACCCACCCCAATTGGTACGGTTATTTCCTGGCCAGTGGGTGCTTCGCCGCCAGCTTCATCAGTTCACTCCTGTTTAACCAAGGCTTCTATCTCATTTTCACGGCCGCACTTTCGGCCAGGTCAGCCCTCATGGCCGCCATTTATCGAAAGGTTCGTGCTTGTCGTTCGTTTGATGTTATGAGGGCTCTCGCCACTAGTTCTTCCTCTATCTAAACTACTGTTGAGTGCTTTGGATATTTTGGATATTATTCGGCCGCTTCTGGATGCGTTTCCCTCTTGTCAAAGGACCTGTCTAGACGTCATTCCAGGATCTTGCATCATATAACTTTATTTCCGTGTATGAACTTGAAAAATATTAGCTAGCCATATGGACTTACCGTTTTGTCTCGTGGGCTTTGACCAACTCAAGTAGAAAAAGCAAACACTTACCGCTTTGCGAGAATGACCAGATTTCTTAAAAACTTATATTTAAAGTTGGAGTTAATCCGCTGGGGCAAGGATCATTCGAGTCAGTTCTCAAATTTGAAAAAAAATTTTTACAACACCACTTTTTTCGAATTTCGCGCGCCAATTTCCAGGGCACCAGTAATCATTAACACTGAACACATAAGTGTATGCTAAAAGAGTCCTGAGGGCACTAGGCGAACCCCCGCTGTTACCTTACGCAAGGGCGTAATATCATACACCGTTATGTTCTCTGGCTGCTCCTCATGAAGGCATTGTGGGGGATCAATCTGACTTTCGCTACCCATCACTTCTGCTGTCAAGAATTCACCGCTTTCTACATCGGTATACTTCTGAAGGTGTTTTTTTACTGCTGTTTTGGGTTATGTTTTTGTGGGCGTCACCGTTGTCGAGGTAGCGATAGTGTTACTGAGGAGGAGTTCCGCCATGCTGTTGCCAAGGTTGATCGTCTGGTGAAGCAAATTTTCGTCCCCATTGTCTAGACTCTGAATCTTTCCCCGGAATCTCGAGGTGCTTACACAACAGGACAAATCGTAAACTTTCTCACGGTGGATGTTGATCGCCTCTTGGAGGTCCTCAGTAAGTAACTTTGCATAGCTTTACAATAGTTTTCATCCTTCCTCATCCTTTGACGCCGCCTATTACGTATATGATACACCACATCCTCGCTGCTGGCCCGTGAAAAGCCAAATGATCATCTTCTCTAGCAACGAATATTGAGGAATTTACACAGCTGGGTTGCGTCAGGTGTAGTGATCGCTCGCTCGATCGTGCTTCGACGGTTGCGCACTGCCTCTGTTGTGGATATCATATGCCAGCATATCTGAGTATACCTTAGATTCCCTATCTCATGAAACGTCACCCGGAATTCTGAAATACGTTTTCGATTCAAACATATTAATTACGTATGGTTGCAATAATGAAAATCTTACAGCCTGATCTCAATTTATTTTAGTCACGACAGGATGCCGACTTTTTAACTAGCTTATTTCTGACAGCTAATAAAACGGATTTTCCGTAAAAAGTGGCTACTTAAGTGGTAAGAATTTTCATCTTGGATTTTGACTGTCTTTATAAATTCAAATATATTCTATGGAAAACATGCACGAAAAACATATTTCTTGTAGTCTTTTGGTAGCAAATTGCACCTTCTTTAAATTTTATACTTAAAGAAGGAGTATCTTTTGGTTTTAAAAATGTTTCTAGTAATGAGCTTTTTAACGATTGTGAGGTGGTCATTCGTTATACATAAAATCCGTCAATTTATTAATGATGCCTATAATAAGTGCAGCAATTTCTACATCTGTTGCAATATTTTATGAGAATTATGGGTCTTCTTCCTCAAGTCGGAGGCAAAAACGTACTTTTCCTTAAACAGGATGTACACAGCGCGCAGTTT